AGGACGACGATGACGATGACGACGACTGCGATGACGATGGCGACGACGAGCTCCTCCTGCCGCCCGCGCGCAGGAGTGCCCCCTGGGCAAGGATGACCCTGCTGGCGTGCGGCCTACCAACCGCGGCACGCAGTGCAACGAACAGCGGCCTGCGCGATCGGACGTGGCCGCCCCAGCGAGAGCCGCACACCGCGAGGTCAACCTGGCGAGGGAGCACGCCCGCGTGCAGACCGCGCTCCGCCCTCGGGCCAGCGGCGCAGGCCCACAGCAGCGCACGGCGCGGAGCTCCCCGAGAGGCAGCGGGCCTACGCGGCGGCGCCCCGCGCCCACGCCCGCGCCTGGCAGACCGCCTGTGAGCGCAGCCGCCAGGCAGAAGATTAGCGAAGACAGGGCATCCTTCCACAGCGCTCCTCCTCCTCCTCCTCCTCCTCCTCCTCTCTGCCTCCCCGCTCTTCGGACATGTTCGACCAGCTTGTCGAGCCCATCGGATCTATTCCGCCAGCTGCGTCTCGTCGAACGCGCTGAGGGGATGCAGGGACTGTCCCAAGCGGTCGCCTGAGGCCCGAGGTAGGGTCCAAGAGCGAACCGGGGGCGACTCGCCCCCCCCCCCCCCCTTCTCTGCCCCACCCCTCTGCCGCCCCCTAGACTTTCGACGGAGGACGTGCAGAGGGGGGTCAATGGCGGCCTGGGATCGGCGACGAACCGCGGAGGAGCACCCGCTGGCGAAGGATCGGGTTCCTGAGCAGGGTGGGGCCTCCACGCGCCCCTCGGAAGAGGAGTGGGCGATGTGCGTCCAGGCCTTCCTCCCCGGTGAGCCTTCCCCTCGCTCTCTCGTCGTCCCTGGTCCTCGTCCTCCACCTTCTCCTCGCGGCTCCCCTCTTCATCTGAAAGATTCCTCCTTCGTCTTGCTGGTGGGTCCCGGGCGCATAGTCACCGTCAGGGCAAGACCTCGACGACGGATACCAACACCTCTCTCGACTCAACCTTTGTTGAGTGTGCCATTGCCTCATCCGTTTGCGTGTCCTCCTCTTCATTATCCTTCCTTTCAGACACCGCATGTATGTCCTCATCCGGTCCATCCCCTTGAAGAATCCCAGTTCCCATTCGTGGCAATTTTCTCTGTTCTCATCGTCGCACTTCTCCAGCTGAACGTCCACCTCCGTTTCATGCCCCCGGGGTCACGCCCTCTCTAACCCAAACCTGAAGCATCCCGATTCTGGTCCACTCCCTCTCCTCACTACCCCCCCTTCCTGTCCATCCCACCCCTGATACGTACAGTACCATCTCCTCTCTAGCGCCTTATTAATCTCCTCCTCTGCAACTTTCTCAATCTGAATACTACTCTCCCTTCTTCCCCAGGAGACTACTGGGGGGTATGTAATCCGCCTTTTCCGCGCACAGCTATTTCTAATTCACAGGATGCCATGATGTGGTCTATCCTATGGCTTACCCATGGGAACGTTTTCGGTGTCTTCAAATGGTTCTGCCGCTGCGGCGTCGGCCTCATCTCACGACCGGCGCTTTGCCCCCCGTCGTTCAGGATGGCACTCTCGCCCCAGCGCGGGCCACCAATCTGGATTTGAGTTCTTCCTCTTCGTTTCTGTCGTCCCCCTCCTTTCCCCTCTTCCGCCGTCCCTCTCCTCCCTGTCTTGCTCCTCCCTCTTCTTGCGCCCTCTCCTCCCTCTCCTTGCGCCCTCTCTTGCGTCTCCCTCTCCTCCCTCACTTGCTCCACCCTCTCCTCCCTTCCCTCTTCCGCCCTCCTTGCTCCTCCCTCTCGTGCCACTCTAATTTCCGCAGCTGCTGCTCGTCCCCGCCCTCATCCTTCCTTATACTGCCTTTCCAACTGCTCATCCTCCTGCTCATCCGCCTCCTCCTCCCCCTCCTCCTCCTCCTCCTACTCATCCTCCTCCTTCTCCTCCTCCTCCTCCTCCATTCCGTCTCCTTATAACTAAATTCGCCCTGTCGCACCCCAAAGCCAGTTTTTAGGGCGGGCCGGGCGTTTCGCCTGAGAATTCCTCACGATTTATGACTCTGAAACTTCACATATGGCAACAGTTTCCCAGATGGAGGGCGGGTGGTTGTCAAAATGTGCCTCGCGCCCTAGCGCCGCGCACATTCTTTTGACAAAAATGCAAGAGCTTCACGGATTGAGGATCACCCATTTTCAAAATGTGGCTCTCTCCTCAGCGCCGCGCGCATTCGTTCAAAAAACATGCAAGAGCGTCACGTATTGAGGATAACCCGTTTTCAATATATGGCTCTCGCCTTAGCGCCGCGCACATTCGTTCTAAAGCTGTGCACATTCGTTCTAAAACTGTGCACGAGCTTTACGGATTGAGGGCGGTTCCTTTTCAAAATGTGGCTCTCGCTTAAGCGCCACGCACATTCGTTCATACATGTTGCCCAGGCTTCACGGATTCCCACGATCAACGTACCAGAAATTGCGTTTTGGAAGGATTTGGGATTTTGCGGGTACACCACTTACATTGGTTCGAGGTGTGAAAATCCCAAGAATTGCGCTCTGGTGCGATCCAGGACCGCCAATGGTTTGGCATGCGCTCCGATCTTCAAACGGTTGTCTTCCAAATAGGCAGATTTCCCAATGGAATTGAACTGTTGTAGGGGCCTGTGAAGAGGGAGCTTGGAGGGAGGGTGTATTCCAACATCGTCGATGGTTCTTGGGTTTACACTGGTCCTCCTCCCCCTCCTCCTCCTCTCTTCCTCCTCCTCCTCCTCCTCCGCCTTTTCCCGACTGTGCCTAACACGATGGGATCGTCTTGGAAGCTCCGGTTCCGCTGCGACACGTGCGCGCGGATAGAGAGGAATCAGCGCAATTAGGGAGGGAGGGGGAGGATGTGAGCTATGGCGCGAGCGATGGGTGGGAGGGATGGGTGGGATGGATCGGAGGGGGAGGGTGGGTGGGAGGGATGGGTGGGAGAGGGAGGCTCCAGCTGGCCTCTGACCCCCCTCTGCCTGCCCTCCCCTCGGTTGGCTCTCCCACCGCCCCCCCGCCTCCCCCGCCATCCCCACCTCCGCCCCCGAACGTGCCGCCGCTCGGACGCCCATGGCCCGTGCGTGCCTCTCGATGTCGTGCGTGTTCGGTGTGCTCGGTGCCCTCCGCTGGCGGGGCCAGCCGCGCCCGCTCACTCGGGACGGAAGTCTCCCGCCTCAGAGTGGCCCCGTATCTTCCCCCCCTCCGTGGCCGCCCAGTCCCCTGCATGCTGGCCAATTCGGTTTCCGGTGCTTCCGTTGAGCTCTATCGGAGATGCAGCCTTATCTGCCCCGCCGCCGACGAAAAAAGTGTTGTTTGATCGAGGCTCAAGGAAAATGAACGCGTCCGAGCGGTCTCCGCCGAGAAAAGAGAATGCACGCGTCCGAGCGTTGCCACGCGTAAGCGCACCGTACCCCTTGCTGTGTGCCAGACACCTCGGCCAGCGACCCCGGAGTAGGATCAGGGAGAGGGGGTGGGTGGCACGAGGAACGGGATGAGCGGGATAAGCGGCAGCAGGAGCAAGGAGGAGGAGGAGTTGGAGGAGGAGGAGGAGGACCTGTGTAAACCCAAGATGTTGGGGCAAACCCTCCCCCAAAGCTCCCTCTTCACAGGCCCCTACAAGTGTCCACTTCCACAGGGGGTCCTGCCCCGTCGGAAGACAACCGTTTGAAGACACTGAAACATGCCAACAAATTATTTGCGGTATCCCAACGCCACGGATAAACTTGACCGCTGCGTCCTGACGATCCTGAATCGCACCAGAGAGCCATTCCTGGGACTTCAACACCGCTCATCATCGTCACTGTGGCGCCCTCATAATCGTGATTCCTTCCAAAACACAATTTCTGGTACTTCTGTCATGGGAACCCGCGAAATTCTTACAATTGTTCAACAAGAGTGTGCGCGGCGCTAAGGCGAGAGCCACACTTTGAAAACCACCCGCCCTCAATCCGTGAAACTCTTGCACATGTTGAAAACACATGTGCGCGGCGCGAAAAAGCGAGAGCTGCATTTTGAAAACGACCCGCCCTCAATCCGTGAAACCCTTGCACAGTTTTAAAACGAATGTGCGCGGCGCTGGGTCGAGAGCCACATTTTAAAAGGCAACCCGCCCTCAACATGTGGAACTCTTGCACATGTTAAATGCGAATGCGCGCGGCGCTAAAGCGAGAACCACATGTTGAAAACCACCCGCCCTCAACCCGCGAAGCTCGTGCAAATATTAAAAACTAATGTGCGCGGCGCTAGGGCGAGAGCCACATTTTGAAAAGGAACCGCCCTCATTCCGTGAAACTCTTGCTCATGTTTAACACTAATGTGCGCGGCGCCGAGGGTAGAGCCACATTTTGAAAACCACCCGCCCTCAATCTGTGAAGCTCTTGCACATGTTTAAAACGAATGTGCGCGGCGCTAAGGCGAGAGCCACCTGTTGAAACCCAACCGCCCTCTATCTGTGAAACTGCTGTCATGTTTTAAAGCTTCAAGCTCATAAGTGATGAGGAAGTCTTAGGCGAGACGCCCGGGCCGCCTTAAACACTGGCCTCGGGGTGCGGCAGGCAGAAGTTCGGTATAAGGAAAAGGAATCGAGGAAGGGGTCACTCCTCCTTCTCCTCCTCCTGCCTCCTCCTCCTGCCTCCTCCTCCTGCTCCCCCTCCTCCTCCTCCTCCTCCTCCTCCTCCTCCTCCTCCTCCTCATCCCTGCCGCCTCCCCCTCCTCCTCAAGGTGGCACGACAAGATCCCAGAAGAGCAAGGAGAAGAGGAACACGAGAGGAAAGAAAGTGGGAGGAAGCGATCCCGTCCTGCGCCCACGCCCGTTGCGCATGGCGCCTCGATCTCTGGCCGCCGAATAAGGCACGGCGAATAAGGAACGCCGAATAGGGAGCGGAAGAACGCAGAACGCCGAAGCAGGAGCGGAGTCCACTGTTGAACAAAATGGCTGCAGGAGGCACGACAGCGCTGGAGGAACAGCCATGCGAGGACCCAAAACACAGCGAACCGAGCCCTACTTCTACTTCGTAACAGTACCTCCCTACCTCCCCGCTCAACCTGCCCCCCCGCTCCCCGCCCCATGCTGAAGGGGAGCGTAAGGGGAAAGGGTTGCTCAGGGTGGGGGGAAACATCGGCCTTGACTCGGCGATACATCGCCGACAAATGGGCGATAGGGCACGGATCATGACTCCGCAAGTTCGTGGGTGGGGTGGGCTGTCAGGCCCATCTCAACGATCATTGGGCGATCGGGGGTCGAGACTGACCCTCCTGTGCCCATTCCCCTCTAAAATTGCCCCTGGTTTTAGGTTGAACGGTCTGGACAACCCCTGAATGCCCTCAGGCGGGCGCAGCTGCTGCAAGGTCCCCGAGGCTGGAACCTCCAAACCTCAAAACTCGAACCGACCGTCCTCGAACCACTGAAAGCCCCTGACCTAAAGGCTTCCGACATGGGGTCGGAGTAGATGGGATCCTTGGATCGCGCCGCATCGCCGATACGTCGGCTATGCATCGGCGATGCATCGGCGATGCACCAACGACGCATCGTCGACGTCGGCGATGCATCCGCGACGTCGACGTGCAGCGATCGGCCTGCACATCGAGCCGCATCGTCGGCGCATCGGCGATGCGGCGCGGTCCTCCCGCGACCCCATCTGCTCCGACCCCACCTGGGAGGCCTCGCTGACCTCCCCCTGCTCACCCCAACGGTCGGAGCCCGTGTTGCCCTCCCGCGAAGCAAAAAAAAACGCCAACGGCGGCGGGGGGAGGCCCCGCGCTCGTCGGGCGAGGGCTCCTGCCAGGCGGCGAAGCGGAGGGCGCGGGCACGCCCCTCGTGCCGGCTTCGTGGTGGCGGGAGGGGAGGAGGCAGGAGTCAGGAGCCCCAGGACGAAGTCTCGCAAGATTCCTCGGGAAGGCCCCCTTTGTGGGCCTGAACCTTACGCTCGAGCTCGGCCCTGCTATGAGCCTTAAGGAGCAATAGTCCCCGCTCAATAGGATTCGGGTGCACGGCACGGGTGGGGTCACCACATTGGACACTCCTTGCCGAGGAGGCGGAGGAGGAGGAGGCCGAGGGGAGAGGAGGGAGGGAGAAAGGGGATGGAGGAGGATGTGGCGGGGAGGATGAGGAGAGGGAGGAAGAGGACGAGATGGAGGAGAAGGAGGAGAGTGGGGGGCAGGGGGACCAGGAAGGCAATATGCGGGATCCATCCATCCCCACACTCGGGGCCGCGGGGCCGCGGGGTCGGCCTCAGCCCGCTGGCCGCCGCCGCGCGATGGCGGCACGGCGGGCGACATGAGCCAGGAGCTCCAGGTGCTCTGGCTGCGAGACCTTCGGGTACATGAACGTGACGGGCCCGAAGGGGTCTTGGCCGCTGCGAGCTGCGGCGCGCAGGACTGGCTACGAAGTGAGGAAGGGCAAGGACGTCGAATGCAATGATCTGGTCGCCGCCATGACGAACGTGCGAAGAAACCGACCAAACGTACGTGCCGGCATAAACAGTACCAAAGCAAATACAACAATCACAACACCAAAGCCGACATCAGACACGACAAGGCCGTGAGCATCGTTTAACCGAACCCCATCCCCACCAATGTGGGCTGGGCCCCACTGTCCGATTTACCCCCGGATGGGGATGTAGGCTGCTCCCTTCGGGCTTCGAGGGGCATATCCCCGAACTGGGGGGATGAGATGGTAGGGGTCTGGATGGGGATGGGGATGGGGATGGGGATCGGTTAATGGATACTGAGGCCGAGCAGTCCGAGGGGTAGCCAATTGCATCGTCGTGGAAATACCGGTGGGCCCCGGCTACGCCGCATACGACGAGGACGGCTACGACGCCTGCAACGGCTGCAACGAGTACGGCTACGACGACTACGCCGCATGTGGCTTCCTCGCCCTGCCGCTCTCGCGATGCCGGCAGAGTTTCGAGAGCCACCGGCGGAACTTCGAGAGCCGCCAGTTTGAGGCAGAGCCACGACGGCAGGAGGCAGTGCCTCGAGGACCGCTGGCAGAGCCAACAGGGCCACCAGAAGAGCTTCGAGAGCCACCAGCTGGGCTATGAGGGCCACCAGCAGAGCTTCGACAGCATGAGCCTCCAGAGCCGCTGGCTGAGCCTCGAGGGCCACCAGCAGGGCTTCGACGGGAAGAAGCAAAGCTTCCAGAACCACCAGCTGAGCCCCGAGGGCCACCATTAGAGCTTCGACAGCAAGAAGCACAGCCTGAAGATCCACCGGCTGAACGTCAAGAGCCACCAGCTAAGCTTGGAGAGACAACAGCTGCGCTACGAGGACCACCACAAGAGCTAAGACGGCAAGAAGCAAGGCTTCGAGAACCACCGACAGAGATACCGGCAAAACCAGCAGACCTTTGAGAGTAACCAAGGGAGCTGCGAGGCCCACCAGCAGAGCTTCGATGGCTACCAGCAGCACTTCGAGTGCACCCAAAAGGGCTTCGATGACAACGAGCAGAGCTTGCAGGGTCACCTAATCATCTACGAGAGACACAAGTAGAGCTACGATGGCCACGCGCTGAGCTGGGATGGTCACCAGCAGAGCGCCGACAGCCACGTGCAGAGCTTCAGGGGCCACCAGCAGAGTTACTTGGACGACACGCAGACCTACGACGGCCACATACGAGGGCCGCCCGCCGCGTTACGAGGGCAACAAGCTGAACTACAAGAGCCACCCAACGAGCTCGAGGGCCACAAGCCGAGCCACGACAGCCACAGGCAGAGCTTCGAGCGCCACCAGCAGCAGTGCGGGGGCCACGAGCTGAGCTGCGCGGGCGATGAGTGGAACCACAACGGCCACGCGCTGAGCCACGAGGGCCACTTGTTGAGCGCCGAGAGTCGTCAGAGTCGTCACGGAAGCTTCGAGGGCCATCAGATGAGCCGCGAGGGCAAGAAACACAGGTACTCGGACCACATCCGGAGCCACGAGAGCCACTAGCAGAGCTACATGGGCAACCAGAAGGGGCACCAGCGGAGCTGGTAGGACTTCCCGCCCAATCACGACTGCCACAAGAAGTTCTCCGAGGGCAGCCAATACAGCTGGTCGGCTTCCGCGCGAAGCCAAGCGTAAACGGCGAGGAGAGGGTGCTGTGCCCGTACGCGGCAGATGCTGCTCGATGGGTATTACATCGAAGATCTATCGGCATCGGCGTCAGGGTGAGCGACCTTGAGATGGTTGGCGAGCGCCCTGAGAAGCAACTCGCCTTCGAGTTCCAGACCCAAGCCCGCGCCTTCCAGAACGGCGACATGCTGCTCAATGATTTCGAGTTCGAGAAGATGTGCGATCTGGCAGCTGTCGAGATACAACCTGGTGTCGCCGCCTTCTTCGAGCTGCTGTTCAACGACAAATGCTACACACAGATGGCACCAAAGACTACGGCAATACGGTCTACCTGAGGCCGCATACTACCACCGTGAAAACTCGTGTACCACAAACACATGAACTCCACATTCCGTCTACGGCGCTACATACAAGAGAATGAGATGTGCAACGTTACGTCCGGGATACTACGCCTTCAGCATGTACCGCTGGAGCTCCGCGGGGTCGCCCCGCCGCCACTCCCCCTGGACATCCTCTTCCCTTCCTCTCCACGCCTCGAGCCTCGGCATGCAGGACGGGGGCATGGACCCCCTCCCCTGCAGACGGCAACAGGGTACCCTGGCGCTCCGGGGGCGGGAGGCCCGCGCCCCCCGCCCGCAGTGCGACCGTCGGAGCGAGGGGCGGCGGCGCGGTGCTGCGGCAGGAGAAGGAGGAGGAGGATGAGGAGGATGAGGAGGAGGAGGAGGAGGAGGAGGAGGAGGAGGAGGAGGAGGAGAAGAAGGAAGAGGAGAGGGAGAAGGAGGAGGAGGAGGAGGAAATCTTTCTCGAAGAGGAGGAGAATGGGAGGAGGAGGAGGAGGAGGAGGAGGAGGAAATACTTCTCGATGGGAGCAGCCGCGGGCCAAAATTCTCGGCCCAAGGAGGGGCCAGAGCGGGCTGGGCTGCATTGGCCACCGACTGAGCAGGCAGTTTCAAGCGTGCTATGTTTGGCCCAGTTCCAGGCGTCTTGCCTCAAACGAACTTTTCGCAATGCTGCGAGAACTATATGCAGGCAAGGCCCGGCATGCAGAAATTCGCCGCGAAAGTGGATTGTGGGGCCCTAGTAGAGGGCAACGTTCTGCCGGTGACCACAGCGGTCCCCAGCCAGCCCAACCTTTGTTCCGTTTACCCTTCTTCGGGCTTGCTCGTCGGTTGGTGCCGAGGCGGCGTAACAAAAAGAGGAAGAAGAGGAGGAGGAGGTGGAGGAGGCTGCTCCTCTCTCCTCCTCCTCCTCCTTCTCCTCCTCCTCGTCCTACTCCTCCTCCTCCTCCTCCTCCTCCTCCTCGTCCTCCTCCTCCTCCTCCTCCTCCTCCTCTTCCTCCGCCCCCCACTCTCGTTACCACGAAGCCTGTCCTCGCGGCATGGCCGGCATCCGTACCCCCGCCAGGCTCACAGCGGTGGGCGCTGCGGCGCTGCCGGCGGGCACATCATCAGCGGAGCTGGCCCGGCCGAGCGCCGGTGGCGCGGCCGCGGGCGACGGTGCGAAGACCACCCCCTCCTCGCTCATGCCTCCTGCTCCCTCCCCCTTCCCTCCTCGAACTCCTCCGCTGCTCCATGGGCTCTTCCACCCTCCTCTCTGCTGCCTCCTCCCTACCCTGTCCCTCCAACGTCTCACTCGTCTCCTCCTTTTTCTCTGCCTCCTCCTCCTCCTCCTCTGCCTCCTCCTTCTCGTGCTCCCTTTCTGCCTTCTCCTCCACCCTTCGATCTCCTCCTTTCTTTGTGCTCATCCCGGCCAAGAACCCAACTATTCCTCTCTTCATCCCGACCAGGAGCCCCATCATTGCCCTCTCCCTCTTCTCCGAATTGTCAAAGACCTCGCCCGCGACCCACCCGCGACCCGCCCCGCGACCCACCCGCGACTCGTCCCGCGACCCACCCGGCGATTCACCCGCGACCCACCCTTAATGCCTTAGCGAGAAAGTATACGCCTGCGGCGGGCTCGTTGCGCAAGGTGTTAAAGACAAATCGGCGCCTGCTGCTGGCCTCTTCAGAGCCTCGCAGACTGTCGACGACCCCACCGCCCCCTCACTCTTGTCCGCAATTATGGGGGGATACGTATTACACCATCCGCCACCTCCACAAGACTGTGTCGGATAGCTTGCACCAGGTAGATCGTCGGGATCGTCCTCACTCTTCCTCATCTTCCTGCTCCAACTCCTCATCCTCCTCATCATCTATCTTCCCCTTGACTCTTCTCTTCTACCTACATCCGCCCTCCATCCACATTGTCCTCCGACTGCTCTCCTCCTACTCCTCCATCCTGCCCGTCCTCTTCTCTTCGTCTCCTCATCCCTCTCCTCATCATCACGTTTGTCTCAACATGCGCTTTCTTCATGCTGCGCGCCTCCAGCTCTGCCTCCCTTTTCCACTGCGAGGGCGAGTTGGCAACAGCCGCCGACATTCGCGCACCGTGGCAACAGCAAGCTACCGGCGCGCCAGATACTTTTGATGGTATGCCTCGGCGTCGAACCACGGCTGCGCCTCATTGATCTCCAGCTTGCCAAGCTTGCCCTTGTCCTGACTGTACCGAGGGTGATAACTCACATGTCCGCAACGCTGAAGGCAGAAACGACACGGTGCCCCCCTCGGCACGGGGCAGGAAAACACGAGGGCAAGAGAGCCCAGCATCGAATCGACAAGTCGGATCGTAAATCGGCATGAATCGGAACGACGGACATCGGCAGCCGAGTTGGGAAAAGGTCAATCGGCAGACATCCGCAGGCTAGTAGGCCTCCATTGAGAAACCGGAGCCCGAACCGGAATCCCAAGTCGAATCCAATCGGAATCGGAAGCCATCGAAATCGAATCGAGTCGAATCGGAGGAATCGAAACGAGCCCTGCGAGGGTGTCACGAGACCGACCGACGTGTGTCGGACTGCGGGCTTGCTTTGGCAGCGGCATCACGGACTGGGACCGGCTCTTCTCCGCGAGCGGTGGCTCTGCAGGCGGGAGGTCCCTGGAGGTGCCTGGAGGGCCTCTGGAAGAGAAGCGCATGGAAAGAACAGGGACTCGCTGCTTGACGACGACGACGACGGCGACGACGACGTCGACGACTGCGGCGACGCCGACGACAGACGAGGACGGACGACGACGACGCCGACGCCAACGATGACGACGACGACGACGACGAGGAAGGACGACGCCGAGGCCGACGACGACGACGATGCCGACGGACGACGACGATGGCGACAACGACGACGGATGATGACGACGACGCCGACGGACGAGGACGAGGACGAGGACGACGGCGACGGACGACGCCAACGACGACGACGATGGACGACGGACGACGAACGCTGAACGGGCGTTTCTGGTCACGGTGGCGAGCCTCGGCCACGAACGGCCCCCCCGACCTGGGCTCGGGGGCGTCCGAGAGGGGGGGCGCCCAAGCGGGGGGGGGGAGTGCACAGCATGGCCCGAGGCGCGCCCGCGGCCCACGAAGGGGGGTCAGGGAGCGCATTGAAACAAAAAAGAGGCACCGCGACATCTGGGGCGATCTCATGGCCCCGCCATGATATCGCTATAAAGGCTTGACGACTGCTGCCGCCCTTCCATTCGCGCTGGAGCGGCCGCGAAGTGCTCCAACTTTCCCTGGAGATCTCTGGATTGACCTGGATATGCCTGGACTTACCTCGATTTACCTGGATGTGGCTGGATGTACCTCGATGTATCTGCTCTCACCTCGATTTATCTGGCTCGATCCCCATCAGCCGATTGGGGAAAAGTCGACAAGCCCTTAGGGATGAGATCCCCCCCTAGTCACCACCCCCCTCTTGGCCGCCCCCGATGGACCCGAGCTGCTATAGAGGCCTCGTCCAGAGCACGGAAGACTGCGCACGCTAACTCAAGGAAAATACCACGCCCCATCAGCGGTTCATAGAAGCACTGCCCGTCGCCCCGGCCCCACAGTCCGATAATCCACGCAGCAGCTGCGCAATCACCATCAATTGACGGGCGAATAACGGTATAAAATAAACATTTTCGCCGTCGGGGGCGCCTGCCCCTGGGCGGCTGGAAAAATTATACCCTTAAGGTGGCACCGTAGGGGTATAAACTTTCCAGCCGCCCAGGGGCAGGTGTCTCCGACGGCGGAAAGTTTTATCTTATACCGTTCTTCGCTCGCTGAATCAAGAAGTCCACCATCTGTTTTGGAGTACCACGTTGGCCCCCCTGGGCACCATCCTACTCCTGGCCGCCCCCGCTGCACCCGAGGACCTCGAGGAGCCCGTCCCGATGGCCCGAGCCCCTCCCGAGCCCCTCACGCGGCCCCGGGCACAACCTCCTGACCATCCTGCGCGAGGAGGAGGAGGCGGAGGCGGAGGCGGAGGAGGAGGAGGAGGAGGAGGAGGAGGAGGAGGAGGAGGAGGAGGAGGAGGAGGAGGAGGAAGGGAGGAGGAGGAGGCGGAGGATGAGAAGGAGGAGGAGGCGGAGGAGGAGGAGGAGGAGGAGGAGGAAGGGAGGAGGAGGAGGAGGCGGAGGGAGGAGGAGGAACAGGAGGAGGAAGAGGAGGAACAGGAGGAGGAGGAGGAGGGTGCCTGCTTCTGCTGCTGCCGTCACTCTTCCACCGTCCCGCCTCTGCTCGTCCTTATCCTGTCGTGGCTTCGTTCATCTGCCATCAATCGGAGAAGAAGAAGAGGAGGAGGAGGATGGGTCGCCAAAGCCCTTCGGAGACACCCCCCAGCCCTCGCTCGCCGAAAGGCGCGCTGCCTCCCCGCGGATAGGGGAGCGAAGAATGACATCAACGGAAAAACTCAGAGGTCCGCGCGGCCTTCTCGGAGCGGCGCCAGAGCCCCCTGGCGGCGCCTCCGGCGCCGCCCACGGCGCGCTCCGCGCGCCAGGGAGCCGGGGTCCCACGCCGCTCCGAGGAGTCCGCGCGGACCTCCGAGCTTCTCTATGTTTGTGCCATTCTTCGCTCCCCGAGCGGAGGGCCGCGAGGGGCCCGCCCGCGACCAACAAAAAGCGGAACGTGGACCTGCCGCGCCCCGCCGGCGCACCTCTCTGCGAGGCCCTGGAGCCCCCTCTCCTGTGTTTTTGTTTTGGGGGGGATCGCGATCAGTCAGGGCGCCCAGGCTGGCCCAAGATGGCCTCGGCGAGGGGGGGCCCAAAAAGTTGTTTCCGCCGCAGGGCTGGGAGAAGACAAGGAGAGCTGATGGGAATAACAGCGCGAGCTACTCCCAAATCGACTCCCAACCCGGACCTCCAACATCTCGAGAAACTCAGAACGACAAGTTCGCGCAATGCTCCGCCTCTAAGGGCCCTCGCCGGGCACTGGTACCGTAAACAACGCCTCAGGATGCAGACCTGGCCACAGGGAAAGGCTCAGGACTTCTCGCGGCCGCGCATTGAGAAACTCAAGACATCGGAGGTTTGGGAAGCGCCGTGAGCTTAGTGAGCGAAAGAAGTCAACTCTAAAGTGAAGCTCCGAGCCAGAATCGATCCACTCAAGTTCAGGGGGGGGCCAAAAGGTACAATCACTTGTCCTAGACTCAACGCTGGTGTACACGTCGCAGTGTGCTGCTAGCACGGCCCTCTGTGAAGCCTCTGAGGCAAATGGCTGCGGCGGTGGGGAGGCGCTGCTGAAATCCCGCCCATGTGCCGCGCCCTCCTCGCCCGGCCCCTCTGGCACAGCTGCGGGCTGCGCTGGCGTTCCCCCCCTCCCGCCCCCTCCCCCCCGGGTAGCCCCAGCTGGCCTCAACAGGCCCCCCGAGTGCGCAGCCCCAGGGCAGGCTCAGCGTAGGGGTGACGAGACCGCCCTGGGCTACTCGGGATCCCACCCGGCCCGCCTGAGGCGCTGCTCGAAATGAGGGGGCGTCAAACGAGGGGGGTGGAGAGAGGTGCGCCTTTCTTCGTGCACCTTCGGGGCCCCCGGGGGGGCCGCCTTCAGGTGGGAAAAAACAAGATGTAGCGATACCTCTGCTCCCTGGCCCTCTCCTGGGGTGCGCTCTGACGAAAATTCCGAGGCGAATCCAGCGGTGGCGACGAGGGCCTCCCAGGAGGCCCAAGAAAGGGACAACGATGGAAAGGTAGAGGTATGGGTACGGCAGGTCCGTGTCGTGTCGACCCTGGCTGGCCTTGGTTCTCGACACCGCGGGGATCGCCCAACCTTGAAGGATCGGCCGCTTCCCCAAAAAGTCAGGATCGTTGAACATTGGCCGGTTCTGGGCCGCCGCCGGCGTTCAGCGTTGAACGCCGGCGGCGGGGTCGCCGCCAGTCGACACGACGCGAACCTACCGTACCTTTTCCTCCTCGAACCGTTGCACGGCCCCTTGCACGGGCCTGGCTCCCACAGCCCCCGAGCTCCGCGCGAGACGCCCGACCGACCGCCGCGGCAGCGTCTCCACACAGACAAGCGCGTTCCACTACTCGCAGAGTCACTGCTCGCAAATGGCCTGGATCCGCCGAGGGGAATCTGCGAACCATTCTACAGTGGAGGCCAGTCCACAAGCAACCTTCCGAGGCAGGACGTCCACTGATCTTTGGTGCGGGAGCGTCACGCTGCCCATCGCAGAGCCATCGGAACCCGAGAAGCCCAGGGCACCCCTGGAGGCGAGCAGGGTGCTTCTGGGCATGCGGCATGGGCCCCCACGGTATGCCCAGAGATCCGATGTCGTGATTTTTGCTCCATGCGCGGTCCCGGAAGTCTTGACCCATTCCCCATGGGACCAGTTCTCCATCCCGAGACGTTTCGTTGACGGCCCCGAGGCCCTGCGAGGGCCCCTGGGCCGAAGTCTGCGAGAAAAACACAAAGAAAAGGATTCCCCATATCTTCCCATATCTTCTGCGTTCTTGTCTTCCCCCCCACTTCCCAGATTTTCCCATACTTTCTGGGGAATCGACGATTAATGGTGTCTGTGTGCTTTTTTCCCTCCTGACGGAGGCGTGCGAGCGCGGGCCCTTAGGGGCCGAAATCTGCGAAAAACCTCCGTCTTGATTTGTTCAACACGCTTCCGTCTTCATTTTTTTCAACACGCTGGACCTGTGGGTCTCGAGGCAGTCATGGCGGCACGCGCGCGGTCACCAGAGGAGCCCCCGGGCCCGCGAGCGCGGGCCCTGCCGCCGGAGGCGCGCCTGGCCGCGCGGCCCTCCGCGGTGTCTCCGGGGGCCGCCGCGCCCTCCGCCGCCGCCCGCGGCCGGCGCCGCGGGGGCACGCGGCCCCCAGGGGTGCCCCGGCTCGGCCCCACGGCGGGGGCACCGGAGGAGGAACCCCTCGGGGAGGAACCGCTGGAGTGGGTAGGGAACCGCTCGATACGGTGGGGCCACTGGATAAGGAACCACGTGATGAGGAGCCACTGGATAAGGAACCACTGGATGAGGAACCCAGGGGTGCCCCAGCCTGGCCCCACGGTGGGGGCACTGGATGAGGAACCGCTCGGGTGAGGAACCGCTTGAGTGGGCAATGCGGGATGACGATTCATAAAACATAGGAGAGGACGATGAAAAAAATGGCTTTCTGCTGTTTCTGTACAGCTTTCTGACTGGAGGAGAACGATATAAAACATGTTTCCAGCCCGCGGCCGGTTGTTTCTAATCGTCATCCCGGGCGCCGCCGCGTGAACACGACCCCCGGTCATTTATTAACCGTCATCCTCCATTAAGGAACCACTTGATACGGTGGGGCCACTGGATCAGGAACCACGGGAGGAGGCGCCACTGGATAAGGAACCACTTGCTGAGGAGCCACTGGATAAGGGACCACTGGATAAGGAACCGCTGGGGTCTGGAAGCCCGCGGAACTCCAATCGTGGAGCGGCCATGGGCCACAGGTATCGCCGCCGCCCTCATTGGATAAGGAATCATCCAGGGTCTGAAGCCGCCCGTGCACGTTCCTTACCCAACGCACCCACCGTATGTCCTGGATGCTCGTCTTCCCCTCCCCTTCCCATGCAGTGTTCGGCCTGACCGAAGGGACGATACATCAGGAGCGGAGCCCCCTTTCTTCCAAAGTAGGTCTGCGAGGTCCGAAGGAACACCAGGAGGGCTCGCCGCCAAAAAGGTAGCGGAACGCATACAAACCGAAGCAACGACCGAGCCCCTTTTGAAAGTAAGTGCTTCTCATTCAAGCCGGACCCTGTATGGTCCATACCTTCATGAGAATCGGCGATTCCGTATGCCTGTGTGTTTCCCTCCTGGGCAACCCCTCCGCGGCCCGTGGCATACGACATACCACTCTGTCGGACGGTCGGTCGGTCGGTCGGTTGGATACTGTCGACGTCAAGTTGAAACGTCGCCGACTCTTCCTGCTCCTGCTCCTCCTCATCCGCCTGCTCCTCCACCTCCTCCTCCTCCTCCTCCTCCACCTCAATCCTCATCCTCATCATCGTCCTATCCATCATTACTAATCTTATTATTATTATCATTATTCGTATTATTATTATTATCCTCCTCCTACTCATTCTCCTCCCCCAGATCCTCCGGGTTCGTTCGTGGCAGATGTGATTTACACCTTCCCAACTCGGGCAGAGGGCAACGGCAGCAGAGGAGAAATAAAGAGACATCGATCCCGGCAGCGGGCAAACCTCGTTTGGGACACTCCCCAAGAATAGTCGTCGTCATCCTCCCCGTTCGTCCTCCCTGCCCTCCTCATCAACTGTCTCCTTCTGCTTCTTCCGCGGTCTTCTTGTCTGCCAGCTGCTCCGGGCCGGGGCCCGGGGAGGCTGCGGCACCGCTCAAAGATGTGCTGTCAGCCGAGCCTACCCTATGAGAACCCTGTGCAGATCTGGACACCTCAGCCTTGGCCCCGGCTTCAGCTGCGGGTGCGTGCTGATTCGCCTTCTGGCCAGCTCCGTCGAGTCGGTATTCCTATCGCATGGGTGCCTCCCTGCACTGCCCCTCCCCGCCTCCTCCTCCACCCCTCTTGTGGCCAGCGGGTGCATGACTCGCCTGGTGTTATGGTTCTCCCGCTCCAAGACACAACTGACACCGAATGCACGAGGAGTGTGCTCTGCTAGGTCCTCGGCAGCCGCCAGGGCCTTCTCCCTCTGCTCCTCGCTGTGGTACCATATGGCATTCTTGTACTGCGCCTTCCCGCGATTACGGTAGTCTCCTTTGCAGTTGTTGAAGTACACGTTCAGCAGGTCCCTGTAGTCGACCCGGCTTGGGTCGTACTCGATCTGCACGGCTTCAGTGTGCCCGTCGCCACCGCAGACAGTCCTGCGAACGGGTGACGGACCAGAGGGTACAGGTCGCCGGGAGAGGGGTCACCAGACGCGCGCGCTACGTTCAGGGAGCGCAGCCCTGGCCCAACAGAACTGCACGAACCTCGAAACACATGGCGTGCTCTAGCCATCGTGAGCCCCCAGATTGCAATCTCTTGCGGGGGGCGTCCGCCGCCGATACCTCCAAGATGGCTCAGGTTAGCCCCAGGTGACATCCAACATCATCTCAAGAGGCCACAGTACAAACCCGAGACGGCTCCAAGTGGCATCTGAGCATCCCAAGGATACCCCCGAGTAGCCAACCTGCTTAAACAGAGCCTGGCAGGCTACAATGATGTTTACCTTCTCGCCAACTTGTTTACGGCAGGCTTCCGAAGCCTCAGATCGGATGCAAGATCGCACACTGGAGCCCCCTAATGGAAACATAATGACTCCAAGGCGGCCACGAAGGCCCCTAAGCGGGACCAAATCCCTCCTCATGAGGGCTGCTACAAGCGAATTTCCAGAATCCAGATGGGCAGCTCTAAATCACTATCGCTGGAACAATGCAAGATGGTCGAAAGGTGTTGGCATCTTGGGGGCATCAATGGGAGGCTTTTGTGCCAAGATGGCTCCGACATGGCCCCATATGTTCTTATCTGTTCTGCCTGGTACGACATGACCCAAGATAGTCCCAATCAATCGTCCAAAGGCCCCAAGACGGCACTGATATGTACCCAAGACAGCCCGACATTTCTAGTGGATCCTCCAGAGGAACCCCCGATGGGCTTCGAGGCCCCATGTAAGCTCTAAGCCCTCCTCAGAGAGCCCCAAGAAGGGGTCAGAAATGGCTCCAGAACGGTTCCACAGGCTTCCAAGGGCACCACAAGGGCGAAAGGGCGCTCCAAGAGGGCCCCACGAGGCGAATCTCCTGGCTCTGACAGGGGGCTCTGACTTTTGAACCCCTTCCCGCCCTGGTCGAATCGAACGTCCCCCACGATGGCCTCCAAGAGGCCCTCACACCGAAAGATCGGCGACGCAGTTCTGGTTGTCTCCCGCGTCTGGTCAGAGGCTGATTCCGAGCTCCGCTCTGACGGCCGACCTCCCGCTGTAGCTCCCCTGCTTCCCCCCACAGCTCCCTCTTGCTATGCGGGCTGACTGTATGACGTGTGCTCTGAGATGCGTTTGCCCCCCGCCCCCCGCATCCCCCACCCCACCCTGCCCCTTGCTGCTCGCCCCCCCCCCCCCCACCACTCTCCCTCGCGCTCCTCCCCCTCCCCGACGAGACCAGGAGGTCGATCCAACGCAATCTCGACCTCCCGGGGCGGCCCTTCTCTGGAGAACTGTCGCAGCCTTCGCGCCTGGCACAATGGCCGACGCGACGCGCGTCAGATCCACAGGCGTACCAGGAAGCACGAGAAGCACGGTCTGGGACCGCCCACCCCAAGCAGAGAGCTTCCATGATGTTGTCGCGCAGGGATCCGCGACCCTCCCGCCCCACCACCCCCCCGAGGCGCGACCACATGGTCGCGACGGCACTGGCCCTCCTCCCACTGCGGGCGAGGGTCCAGGTCGTCTCCCTGGGAGGAGGAGGGCTCTTCAGGGTCACGTAGGTGGGGAATTTTGACCTTGGTTGACCACAAAGGGGGTCCAGCTGAAAGGGGGGTGGTGCAACAGGTTTGGTGCAATTGTATTGCACATGTTTCGCGCCAGAGAATTGTACTGCATTGTATTGCAACTGCCTTATTGCACGCGAAAGCCCAGCACTACATTTGCGCCCGGGAATGTCTGGCACGCCCCAGACGTATTGCAACCCCACAAATCGATTGCGCCAGATCTACTGCACCACCCCCCTGTCGCTGGACCCCCTTTGGGGCCAACCCGATTGATGAACCAGGGCGTCCTCACGCCCGGAAAGGCTGCAACAGTGGGCCGAAGAATGCCCACCCCGTCGTTTTCTGCAGGCGGATCTGGCGCAAATCCTGGCTTGTAGTGTCCTGGCTCTTGGGGCTCCCCGAGAGAGCTGCCCACTACCCGGCAGGCTCCGGGCGGCAGAAGCAGCACAGGTGCCAACCGGCTCACGCTCGAGCCCCGCCCCCCCACTGACGCGCTGGAACCGGCATCCCAGCCGTTTGTACCACCTCCAACTCCAGGCCTCCCACATCCCGCCTCCACCTTCCGCCTCGCCTCCTCGCCTCCACCTCCAGCCCCCGCCGCCACCAACTCTCTCCACCTCCTTCTCGGTGCGGGAGCTGCCGATCACTGCCTGCGATGCGACAGTAGCGGCCAGCGTGTGCATAGTTTCGCCCCCCCCCCCACCCCCCCCACCCCCCCCCCCCCCCCAAACCACCGGACCCGCCCCTCGGGCAGGCGGTAATGAGGGGTGACCCAAATTGGGGGTGAAGAAAAAGAGAGGCCCTGAAGGGGCCCTTTGCTTCCACCCCCCCATATGGGTCACCCTCATCATCACCCGCCCGAGCCCCGCAAAAGCTGCGCACCAGAGGTCACTCCTGCAGAGGGCCGCTCCTCCGTGCCGCCGCTCCACCTGCGCGGGCGCCTGTCGGGCACTCGCGAATGGGCGAGGGGTACAAGAAGCGCAGGGTGAAGAACGAACCGCACACCTTTCGTGCACCGTCGTTGGCCCACGGTGGCATTCAGGGGCCGATTGGGGCCTCTTCGTCGAGGAGCCAACAAAAACTGAACCACGACTTCTAGGTCGGCTCCCCACCGTGCGCGCCAGGGGCAGCGCCGCCAGGGGGGCCCAGCGCCGATCCAATCAATCCGCGCGGAGCTCCGAGGATGTGTGTGTGTGTACGCAGGTCTTTTTTGTTCGACTCCCCATCCAGGTTCTGAGGTAGGACACTTGTCCCGACACATAGCATTCCCATAGCATTCCTCCTCCTCCTCCTCCTCCTGCCTCCTGCCTTCCTCTTCCCTCCTCCCTCCTCCCTCCTTCCTACTTGTTCTTTTGTGTGCAACGTCCGATCCATTGTTTTTTGCGGCTTTCCACTTTCGCTTCTCCTCGTCCTCTGTTCAGGCGACTCGCCTGCAGCCCTCCCTCCCCCGCCTCGTTTACGGACTACCTCTTGTCGCCCACCCGATATCCTCGTCGTCCTCGTTGCGTTGACGCCGTCGTCGTCGTCGTCATCATCGTCGTCGCCCTCGTCGCCACTGTGGTCCTCGCCGTAGTCCGTGTCGTTGTCGTCACCATCGCCGTCGTCGTCCTCCCCGTCGTCGCCGTTGCCGTCGTCCTCGCCGTCTGTGTCGTCGCCGTTTGTGTCGTCCTCGTCGTCATCGTCGTCGTCGTCGTCGTCGCCGTCCCGTCCTCGTCCTCGTCCTCGCCCCCCGCGTTTCTTGGACCCCTCCTCTGCCGACCCCCCCCCCCCCGGGGGTCTCCTGTACGTCGGCCTCGCCGTCCTGCCCCCGGTGTAGCCCACGACGGTCTGGCGAGCGAGCCGCTGCTTTTTGGCGGCGCGCACGAGGGGGTGGGGGGAGGGGGGGGAGGGCTTCTTGGAAGCAGGCTGCTTCTTAGAAGCAGCGGGCCCTACGTTTACAGAGAAGGCCCGCGCCTGCTAAGACGCAGGGGGGGGGCGTCTAAGAAGCCCATCCCCCCTCCCCCTAACCCCAGGAAGCATTTAAGAACCCCCCCCCTCCGGCAAATCGACAACCCTTCCACACCCTGGAAGCGTTACCTGATGATGATAAGCATGATAATGATGATGGATGCTAAAGCTATCGTTCGGTTATTTCGGCCCCTCGGAAGATCGAATAGAAAATGCGGTGCTACGATATCGCCGGGGGGGGTTCTTAAATGCTTCCTGGGGTCCCCCCCCCCCCTCGGCGCGTGGCCGCTGCTTTGGCGCGGGCAGGCCGCCGACGCCCACGGGCGGCGCCCGCGGCGGCCAGCGCGCGCGCGCGGAGCGCGGCGTGCGGGCGTGCGGGCGGGGGGAGGGAGGAGGAGGGAGGAGGAGGGGGGAGGAGGGAGGAGGAGGGAGGAGGAGGGAGGAGGAGGGAGGAGGAAGGCGGGGGGAGGAGGAGGAGGAGGAGTGGAGGAGGCAGGGGAGAGGAGGAGGAGGGAGGAGGAGGAGAAGGAGGAGGAGGAAAAGGAGGAGGAGTAGGAGGAGGAGGAGGAAGAGGAGGAGGAGGAGGAGGGCGGCGCCCGCGGCGGCCAACGCGCGCGCGGAGCACGGAGCACGGCGTGCGGGCGGGCGGGCGAGGACGAGGAGGCGGGCGGGGGAGGCCGACGGCGGCGGGCGGGTGAGCGGGCGGCGCCGGCACGCAGGAGTGGCCCCGGGCAACGGTGGCCTCTGGGGCGCGGCGGTCGGGATGCCGCGGGGGAAGGCCAAACTAGGGGGCCACATGCGAACCCCACCCCTACCCCCCACGACTTCTGAGGGGGAGGGTGGGGTTCAGTTCGTTCGGGAGCTCCCAAGCGAAGTGAACCCCACCCTCCCCCTCAGAAATCGTGGGGGGGTAGGGGTGGGGTTCGCACGCGGCCCCCTACAAGTCCACGCGCGCCAAGCGCGCCGGCCACTGCTGGTGGCACTCCTGCGCGCCCGCACCAGAGGCCACCCTGGCGAAAGGTCATTCTTGGGCGTAGCCTACTCGGGCGGGATGGCAAAGGGTGCCCTGCGCCGCGGCTGACGCGGGCCGCCAGCACGGCACGCCGCGCTGAGAACGAGGGCGCGCACGCGCGACCTCACGCGAGCAGCTCGCGCGCGAACGGCGGTAACGACCCCGTTTTTCTTCTGTCGCTCACTTGCGCGCGCGCGGGCTGGAGCGTAGCGCGGGGGGGGAGGAGATGCGGGGCGCGGGGGGGCCAAAGGAATATCGTGGCTGGGCGCGTGCGGGGGTGGAGTGGGAGAAGGCCCTCGTCGCCGAGGAGGTGCAGGAGGGGAAGGGAGGGAGAGGGCGAGGGGAGGGGGCGGAGGGGGGGGCAGAGGGAGGGGGTGGGGGGAGGGGAGAGGGGGGGGGGGCGCGAAGGGGGGGGGGGGGGAGGGAGCGGATCAGGGAGGGATGGGTGGGAGGAGGGAGGCACAAGGGAGGAGGAGCATGGTGAGTATGGTGAGTTAGTGCACGCACGTGCCGCTACATCGGTGGGGGAGGGGCGGGGGAGGGCGGGGGCGCGCCTGATGAAAGTCGACGGAGTCCGCCGACGCGGGGCGGCGGCGGGGCGGCGGCGGGCGGGGGCGCTCTCCCTCCTCGCCCTCGCACTCACCCTGCCGACCGCTCCAGCCGCCGCGACCGAGGGCGCCGTCCCCGACCCCTTACCCCAAGCCACATCCTCGACTCCTCCGATCCTCCCCACGCCCACGGGTGGGGTACAGGGGGCGCACTCAAACTCAGGGCGACAAGCGAATTCACCCGAATCACCCACGGGTGGGGGTTCCGAGTCAGAAGCCACGGGAAGTGTAGCAAACCTGATATACTCGTCCAAGGGGACGTGCGCTGGCTCAACAACAGCGGGCCGAGGGGCAGCCTGGGCTCTCGCAGTATGAGCTTGGATCTCAACGACCACGAGCGAAGAAGGGGGCCCTCGACACGACGGGTAAAGGGCCTTCGCCAGGCGGCTCAAATTCTCTCTCCCCTTGCGGGTTGGGGGGAGCGCACGGGTTGGCCAGGTTGCGGCCGTCAGCAGCAGCCGCGAAACCGCACACAGCACAGAACTTGAGACCGTATCGGGACCACTCCCGGAGAGCATGAGAGGGATGCAGGGCCACGCCTCCAACCTCGGACGCCCCGCTCACCGCCAGGAATCCGTCACCGAGGAAGCGCTCACTGTGGGCCGAGGCGGAGGAAGGAGGAACAGGCCCAGCAACCGAAGGGCAACACGTGGCCGCGAACTCCAGGAGCTTCGTCCGTGGCACAATCTGCAAACAGCCAGAGCACATCCAACGATTGCTGCACTGCGACAGGCGGTGCGACGAGGAGTCCAAGGCCCTGGCCAGCTTGGACTTGACCTGGGTCCTGGGCCTGGGCGCCCTGGGGCCGAATTCGGGAGCCACCGCAACACTATCAATCAGAGCGCGGCAGTGACGCCCCGTCGATCCGTAAACGGAATCGGGTCTCTGACAGACGTGTCCCACCCCCTCCTCGCCGCCCGCCCCGCCCAGACATCAGCGCACGCATTGCCGTGAGAGAGGAAGGCTTGAAACGGGGAGGTGATACGCTTCAAGGTGGGAAACGGCCCAGACAACATCGACGGACCCAGGGCCGCGATTTTTGGCAGCCTGCTGCACCCTAACCCAAAGGCCCGCATTGCGGCCAAAGGGGCGTGCAGCGCGGGCCGACCTCCAGCCATCAACCACAGGCTTACACTCGCAAGCGTAAACGATATCTCCAGAAGAATTCTCGAGACCCAAGGCCAGCGCAAGCAGCTCTGATCGGGGCACAGTCTGACGTCGTCCAGGGAGACAGGCAGCCACACCGCAGACGGGGAGCCACATAGCGCCAGAGGGTCCCCGTCCAAGGCACGACGCATGACCACCACAGCTGCCCCGCAGCGTCTCCGACGTTCGTCTGAGCTGTGCTCACCCCCTGAACCATCCCCAAACAGGTAAGGGGGGGCCCCTCAGGGGCCGAGAGCTCCTTCAGCAAGCGCTGACCGAGGAAAATGGGGTCCGAAAAGCCAGGGCCCTCCTGGAAACGAGGCACAGTGAGACTGGTCGAGGGCACGCCCCTCAGCCACAAGGATGGGTCAGAATATGCATTTGCCAACGCCTGAGGGATGAGCGCATCAGTGGATGTGTAATCAGAATGAGAGCATTTTTTGAACGCTCCCATATGCGGTGGCGCAGCGTCTCTGGGGCAGCTCTGCATCGAGGACACAGGCGATCGACCTGGTACCCTGCCTCGTGCTGCCTCTGCTGCGCCCACTGGCCTCCTGCTATGACCGAGACCGTCGCACCCCACATGTCCATGGCGCCGCTCTTGGCGAAGGCATCCAATTCACGTTGTATCCCATGCAGATCTGCTCCGTCAGCGAGCTGTTCACCATCAGGATGCTTGGCAGCCAATCGCCAGGCAGCAGCACGGCAGTCATGCTCAAAGTCCGCCAAGAGCTCGCTGAAATCCTCCAAGACGGTGTCACTGTAGCCAGCCTCGCCGAAAGAGAGGAACGTGTAGTCCTCTGGCCCCTCAGCGCCTGCACGACGCCAACGGGTGGCTTCCAAGGGCTCCCAGCCAACCTGCATCAAGGTAGCTTGGGGGGCAGCAGTGGGCCCTCGGACTCCCCGCCAGCTGACGCGATCACCCAGTCAAGCACGAACACGAGGCCAGACACGAGCAATGCGCACATGCAAGTACGGGTGCACAATCCACATCCGAAACCATTTAGTAAGAACGTCACGCCGAAGCTGCAAGGAGGGGTCGCTTGAGCCAAGGGTAGCCTGCAAGACAGTCTGCAAGCAGCGGCCCCTCTTGTGGCCAGCGATCGAGACCGATGCTTGCCTGCGCAACTTAGTCATCAATGAGGGCGGCACTCCATGAGCTTGATGGCCATAAGTAGCAGAAGGTAGCACACCTGCCCTCCAGAGGCCACGCGCCACCTTGTGGCTTCCAGCAAGCCGCCGCAGCTTCTGGATCTTGCCCTGGCGCGCAGAAGCCCTAGCCACCCGAGAACGAAACTTAGGTCGAGCCCGACGTCGAGCACCAGTTGCGTCAACTCCCAGGTCGACAGCCGACGGGGTGTGGGTGACGGGAATGCCCATGCTCTTCAGGGAGGTAACCAGCGCTGGCAACCAACTTAGTCTTGTCGGAGATCGTCACACGTTTGTCCTTGAACGACTGAGCCAGGGACTGAGCGGCCGACTTCATATCTCCAATCACCGTGGCTCGAGCACGGCGCTGAGCGCATCCTGCTCCACAGCTTGGCCGTGTGGGGCATCAGACCAAGAACTCCCTGGCCACCCGCCTCCTTTGGAATGGAAGCGCCGAGCACCGTCATGAGCTCTTCAGGCCACACCCCTGAAAGTTCAATCTCATTCAAGAGGTTCACCAGCGCACGGCGCCCAACATCTGGAAGTCGCAGCAGCACAAGGGAGGAGGAAGAAGGAAGAGGAAGAAGGAGGAGGACGAGGAAGCGGAAGAGGAGGAGGAGGAGCAGGAGGAGCAGAAGCAGGAGGAGGAGAATCGAGAAAGATCGAGGATCGAGGAGGACATCCAGGACCCCGGAGGCCTCGGCCCTCTCCTTTTCCACGTCGGGCGGACACTCAGGCAGGACTTGCTGCGCTCCTCGAGGGAACCAATGCGATTGCGCCGACTTCGGCACGTGCTCTTGCGAAAAAGCGTGAAGGCTGCTGCCAGTGCGGAGGCAGGAGGTGACGAAAGACATGGCAGAAGACTCGGTGCCCATGTGGCGCCCCCCCTCCCCTCCCCTCCCTTCCTCGGGCTGCTGCTGGCTTTCACTTCGTCGCCAAACCCACCCCCCCGAGGTCAGGTCTCCTCACGACGTGGACAGCCCAGAGGTCTGGACCTTTTCCCAGGGGCCAGCTCCTGCATAGTACTGGTGACGTCCTCACGGCCCATTTGGGGCTCCCAGGGGCCGACAAATATATACATATAAACATATATGCACACTAATATATATATATATATATATATATATATATATATATATAATATATATATACACATATTCGTGCATGTACACATATTCGCCGGCCCAACGGGCCAGAGGCGTGCTACAATCTCCGGTAGCTGGTTAAAAATATTTTACTTCGCGCAAGCGGGGTTGCCCCTGGGGGTCTCCGGGCGAAAAGAAAAAACGCAAGGCCCCGGCAAGGTCCCGGCAGGTCCGGGTCAGAGATGGCGGACCGGGCAATTTTTCGATACCGCTCACGACGATCGTGGCCTCCGGGGGGGGGAGCCGCAATCGACTACCCCCCCTCCCGCCCCAAGAGGCCCACAAGAGCGCACAAGAGGCCCTGGGGGCCCCCAAGACGCCGCCAAGGAGCCCCAAGAGACTCCCAAGAGGTCCCCAAGAGGCCCCCAAGAGGCCCTAAAGAGGGCTCCAGGGCCGGCGGAATGAGCGAAGCGATTAAATAAACAAAGAACTCCCGGCGCATTTCCTTCACGACGCGAGGGGGTCTGGGAAAGGGGATGCGGGCGGCTCCTTGATGACGCCCGGGACCCTGTCGAAGGTCGCCTGCGGGCCCCAGAATCAGCCCAGCGCGAAGGTGGCGACCTGCGGTGGCGCCAAACCCACCGCCCTCGTGAAAGAGCCACGGCGCCCGGGTCGGTCTTACCAGTCCTCCTCGTCCTCCTCCTCCTCATCCTTCGACAGCTCCTCCTTTCTCCGCCTCCTCCTCCTGGTTCCTCCTCCTCCTCCTCCTCCTCCTCCTCCTCCTCCTCCTCTCCGTCAATATCATCCTCTCCTCCTCCTTCCCTCCCGCCCTCCCCCTGGACCTTCCACCCTCACCCCTCATCCCCTCCTCCTCACCTTCTTGCTGATCTCTCCCCCTCATCCCCCTCTTCGTCGTCGTCGTCCTCCTCCTCCTCCTCCTCTTCCCACAAAGTGCGACGGCGGGGCCACGAAAGGCATGCACATGGGGCCACGACGGGCGCGAACGAGCGGGGGCCACGAAGGGCATACATATATGGGACCACGAAGGGCAGCGATGGGGCCACTGCAACGGGGCTACAGAAGGGCCACGAAGGGCTGCAACGGGGCCACGAAGGGCAGCGAGGGGGCCGCGAGGGGCTGCAACGGGGCCACGAAGGGCAGCGAGAGGGCCACGAAGGGCTGCAAGGGGGCCACGAAGGCCAGCGAGGGGGTGACGAAGGGCTGCAACGGGGCCACGAAGGGCAGCGAGGGGGCCACGAAGGGCCACGAAAGGCAGCGAGGGGGCCACCAACGGCTGCAACGGGTCCACGATACAAAGCGAGGGGGCCACGAAAGGCTGCAACGGGGCCACGAAGGGCAGCGAGGGGGCCACGAGGGGCCGCAACGGGGCCACGAAGGGCAGCCAGGGGGCCACGAAGGGCTGCAACGGGTCCACGAAGGGCGGCTAAGTAATCTGTGAGGGAGTCCTAAGCGTGACCGCGACTCCTTGGTGCCTGAGTGTCGGGAGCGCGGCGCTCGAGTAAATGGAAGGAAATTCCAACGCAAGGGCGCTATTCTTCAGTACATCGCAAGTGGGTCTCCAGCGAGATCGCGACTCTAGAGCGCCGGGAGGGCGATTCCTGCATAACTTGTGAGGAAAAACCTAGCAAGAGCGCGATTCCTGAATCACATGCGAGAAAGTCTCGGGCGGGAGCGGAGGTCCTGGCTAAATTGTGAAGAGGTCTCAGGCGGGAGCCGTTGTTGTTGTTGTTGTTGTTGTTGTTGTTGTTGTTGAACTCTCATTCTTGAAGATAATTATTGTTGATCCCCCCCCACCGGTGCACATTGATTTTTTTCGATTGAAGTGCCACCCCCGGGGCTCGCACCTTGTTTTTTCTCAAGGAAAGTCTTCCTGCTCAAACTGTGCCCCTGCCCCCCGGGCTACAACAACAACGGCTCCCGCCTGAGACTTCCTCGATTTTTACTCAGGACCCCCGCTCCCGCCTGAGACTTCCGCGCAATTTACTCAGGAAAGGCGCTCCCGTCTGAGACTTCCTCGCAATGTAATCAAGACCCCCGCTCCCGCCTGAGACTTCCGTGCAATTTACGTGGGAACGGCGCTCCCGCCTGAGACTTCTTCGAATTTTACTCAGGACCCCCGCTCCTGCCTGACATTTCCGCGCAATTGACTCAGGAACGGCGCTCCCGCCTGAGACTTCCTCGCAATTTAGTGAGGACCCCCGCTCCCGCCTGAGACTTCCGTGCAATTTGCTCAGGAACGGCGCTCCCGCTTGAGACTTCCTCGCAACTTAGTCAGGGCCCCCGCTCCCGCCCGAGATTTCCTCACAATGTACTCAAGACTGCGCTCTCGCGTGCGACGTCTTCACAAATTATTCTGGAATTGCGTTTCGGCGCTCAGGAACCACGCACGCGCCAAGGACGCCTTCACAACGTGGTATCTTCCCTCTTCCTTCGTCCTTCCCCCTCCCCTTCCTCCCACTCTCCCTCGTTCTTCCCCTCCTCCTCTTGCAGGGCCCGCGCCAATTCCAATGGCGGGCAGAGAGATGTACGCCCCCGAAGGATTGTCCGCCCGTTCCGGTTTGCCCGTACGTCTAAGCCCGCCGGCCCCAGCAAAGAGAAATAATCCCCCCGAAAGGGGTGTGATCGAAGACGAAGAGGGCGGGCATCGAGGGTGTAGGGTATACGTGTTGAATGACTCGCGGGCAAGTAAGAGCGTACAGCCTTAAAATGGTTGTTGTTGTCGTTGTAACACGGGGGCCAACAATGCAGTTTGAGGAGGAAGACTTTCCCTGATAAAAAACAGGGTGCGAGCGCCGGTAGGGGCACTTCAATTGAGCAGAATACACTGTGCACCGGAGGGGGGGGATTAAAAATGTCTATTCTGCAGTAGTGCGAGTTCAACACCAATAACACGAACACCACGAACAACAACAAAAACAACACCAACATCAACAACAAAAGAACAACACCAACAACAACACCAACAACAACACCAACAACACCAACAACAACAACGACAAAAGACAACGCTGCGCTCCAATCATTCCGTGGCATGTCTCGAGCCAGCCCGACGCGGCGGCGCCTGGGCCCCCAGTGGCCCGAGACTGGGGCACGGGGGGGCGCCCGTCGCAGCTTGTGGCCCGCAGCGCCCGAGGCCCACAGCGTGCCCACTGGCCGCCCACCACGATCGCTCCCCAAAGCATACTGTGCCTCGGGTGCGCCGAGGGGGGGCCGAGAAGAGGATGGTCAGCGCATATCAGGGCCCGAGGCGCCTGCGCGAACGAGAGGGGGCCCAGGGAACGCAATGCGTGAACACTGCCCGCTTCTCAACTGGTGGGACGGGGACCGCTCTATGCTGCAACCAGCCAGGGAGGGAGCGGGGGAGAAGGACAACGACGACGACGAGGAGGGGAAGGTTGTACATGCCCGGCGGTTGGCGGCGAGACATCAGTTACAAAACGCTCGGACTAGCCAAGATGCTCACACAGAGGGAGCAGGCGGAGGAGGAGGAATAGGAGGATGAACGCAGTGGGGCCCGAGAATGACAATGCGAAAGGGCGCCAGGGGACGCACTGAGAGAAGGAGAGGGGGCCATGAAATCTGGGATGTATCATTCGGCGGCGAGCCCGGGGGGGAAGTGAGAAGTGGCGGGCATTCTCAGAAGGCTCGGAAGTCCGCTGGCCTCCTGAGAAATTTTCCGAGCCTTCCCCGAAAACAAACTTCTTAGAAGGCGCGAGGGCTTCTGAGAAGTCCCGCCGTCTTCCGAGAAGGCCTTCTCCTTCTCACTTCCCCCCCTCGCTCGCCGCTGAATCATGGCCCTGGCCATGATGTCCACACGCCCCCTGTCCGCCCACGAAGTACTTGACACCGAGACCGAGACCCCTCGACCACTTCCAGGGGATCAGTGTTCATGCTTGCTCGTTTCAGGATCCACCAAGGGGGGTGACCCTGAGGGGTGGCATGAATTCGATCCAGTGGTGCACCGAACCGCCGCAAACAGATGACCCCTGCATGCTCCACCTATTGGCAACTATTGGGAGCTGCCTGCGGCTGGGGAGCATCTGCGTTGGGCGGTGCGGTGCAAAAACTGATCGAACTCTCTCTCTCTCTCTCTCTCACACACACACACGGGTGCACCCCCCCCCTTTGCGGGATCACGATTGTTCCCGTTCGTTGAACGGCTGCATGCGAAAACGCTCTTGAGGTCCGCGTGGATTCGTGGGGCGGCGCCGGAGGCGCCGCCAAATCGAGGCCAATGCCGACCCAGGCAATCCGCACGGACCTCTGAAACTGTCTGCTGATGGTGCTTCTTGTTTGCTGGGCCTGTTTTCCTTCTTGGACTGCTGAAGCGAAAGGAGGCCGTGGGAGCCGCCAACGCGAAG